TTTTTTTTTTTTTTTTTTTTTGAGACGTTGTCTTGCTCTGTCACCCAGGCTGGAGTGCAGTGGCGCGATTTCGGCTCACTGAAAGCTCCACCTCCTGGGTTTATGCCATTCTCCTGCCTCAGCCTCCCGAGTAGCTGGGACTACAGGCGCCTGCGACCACGCCTGGCTAATTTTTTGTATTTTTAGTAGAGATGGGGTTTCACTGCGTTAGCCAGGATGGTCTCGATCTCCTGATCTCATGATCCGCCCACCCCGGCCTCCCAAAGTGCTGGGATTACAGGCGTGAGCCACCGCACCTGGCCTTAAGTTATTTTTTAAAAAAACTTCTTCATGTTCAGAATCCAACTCATCTGAATCCTTTTCTGATCCAGAGGCATCAACGTCCATGTTTTTCCAAGGGTATCTCAGTTACAAAACCAAACCAAAATCCATCTAGAAGTGATCTTCCTGTTTAGGTCCTTATTTGTTGCTGTTCTAGAAAATTTGAATGGAAATATCTACACTTCAGTAATAGCAAATGTATATACTCTGCTTCTCTGCTCCGGCGCCCTTCAGCATTCACAGTGACTTTACCTTTCAGTGTTGAATCCTAGTGCAATTGTGAAGACATTTTAAACGGCAATTAAACAACATGCGTAGAACCAACAATGCACATAATTAAATTAAAGCGGTGATAATATTAACAGTTATAACCAAACTTACGCATAGGCGGGTCATGACAACCATGTCACAACTGCCGTATGGCTGACAGTGATTGTAAGGATGCTACTGTACATCTTGGAATAGCAGAATGGGGTGTATCTGTACGAAGCTTTTGTTCTCTGGGAATTGCTGCACTATCTGATTTCATCAGTTTCATCAGTTACGGGAGAGTAAAAGTGACTCTCTTTTCCTTCTACCCTGAAAAGGAAAAGGGCTCTGTTGCTGGTGTTGAGGCAGACACAATAGAATAATCTTTACCTGGAAGATATCTTTAGTTTGAATCCTCTTAAGAGGAAAAGGAACTTTTATTGAGCTACTATAATTCAGTCACTTTTATGCATTACAGACATAATGCTCAAGGGAACTCTGC